CCACTTAAAAAGACAGAGTCTGTCATGCATGCCAAAGCAAGTGGAGAGCATTCTGTTAGTCACAGTGGTTATTCCAGGAATGGTTGAAAGTCTTAAGGCCTTCGCAGGAAGAAAATATCAGCTCCTTTCCTTTTGAAGAGAACACCCCAAATATATTAACCCTAAGACGATATGCTGTGGCCATCTTATCCTCAAAGGTGAGATGAGGGCTGAAACTAACACAGTGGAAAGGAAATCTGAGAGAGGGGGGAGGCCAAAAGTAGCAAGGACTTTGGCTTGAATGGAACTGTTTCCGAAGTCATTTTCCCTCTCTGAATATCAAGTTAAATGAGCCATTAAATTTCCTTCTTTTCCTTAAGCCTGTTGGAGTTTATTTTCCTTTGCTTCTCATTGTACCAAGAATCCTAGCAAATACAATGCTCATATTCTTTATTTTGCAATACTGTTATACACATTTTTTTATCTTGGCTTATGTTTTACATTATAGCTATATAATCAAGTGTATTATAGCAGATTCTCAGTATGTGTATAACTCAATTCATACATTGTTATTATAATGCATATTATATTTTTCTTTGATACTTGGATCTCTTATCTAGTCTGCTAATTGCTTATCCATTCATTTTTATTCATGCATTTTTCAGATATTTATTGCTTTTATCTGACTCTGTGAGGCACATAGATTCTGTATTGAATAAAATAAGCATTATGGAACTAACTGTCCTATTGAGTTGTTACACATAAGATTATCTCATAAAGAAACATAAAATTTCTTTTTTATTTAAAAAATATTTTTGCTTATTTGAAAGACAGTTACAGGGACAGGAGGAGAATGAGAGCAAGAAAGAGAGGGAGCAAGAGCTCTTCTATCTGCTAGTTCATTCTTAAGATGGCTGTATCACCTTGGGGTGGGGTGGGACCCAAACCAGGAGCCAGATGCTTCACCTGGACCTCCTTTGTGGATTCAGGAACCCTAGTACTTGGGACATCTGCCGCTGCATTCCCAGGTGCATCAGCGGGGAGCTAGAGGGAAAGTGGAGCAACTGGGACACTAATCTGTACCTATAAGTGATACTGACATTGCAGGTGGAGGCTCAACATGCTACACTGGTCCCCAAAATTCCTAAAATGATAGTCACTCATGGAGACTAATGGTTGATTCATGAGTGTATAGAGTAGGAGGCTTTTCCTGAATTGAGGAAATCAGAGGGGGCTATCTTCTCTGAATAAGTGATAGTCACATGACACTGAAGGACAAAGAGGAACCAAGTAAAGGAACAGAGGGAAAGAAGATTCTAGTCAGGAGCAAGAGCATGCGCCAAGGCCCATGACTTGTTGTATATGACAGAGAGCTATTTGAGCAAAGACGAGATTGCAAGAGATCAGGCTGCTTAGAGAGGTACTCCTACTCCTGGTTGTATGAAGGAATCCACAGTGCAAAGGCAAGGAAAGTTTTTTAGTGTGCTTCTGTAGGTGTGGTTGGTGGCACAGATATGGAAGATTTCCTGATAGGAATTTAGGATAGGCCAGCCCTTGTTTCTGTGCTGAACATGGTTGGGGTTGAGGAGAGTGCATGCTAGTGGAGGAGGAAGCCCGGGGAGAAGACTGGTACAGCCACCCAGGTGGTATGAATGGTTTTGTTCCCTCCAGATGCCACGTGGAAGCTTAGTCCCCAGTGCAGCGTTGATAGAGGTATAGTCTTTGGGGAAGTGCTGAGGCCATGAGGGCTCTATACAGGGTTTCTTTAAGTTAGTTCACTTTCCTTTGCTCTTCTGCCATGTGAGCACACAACATGTATCACCATTTGCTCTTTTGTGCTGTGAAGATGCTGCCAGAAGGCCATACTGGGTTCCTGAACATTGATTGTGGGCTTCTCAGCCTCCAGAAAGAAGAGAAAGTTATGTCTGTTCTTTCTTATTAGCCAGTCTGTAGCATTTTGTGTTAGTAGCACAGATGGAATATGACAGCAGAGAGAGATTATGGTGGTTAGATAAAGAGACAAGTGAATAGGTTAGAGGTATGACAAGGATGTAAGTCTAATAGGATTCAGTGCTACTTAATTCAAACTAAGTCATACTCCAATCTTGCCTTTAATGAACAATTGTGGAATCTGGAAAAACTTATAGATTCCTTATTTAAAAATATGACCAACTTCTAAAAAGCACTTGAAGAGAGATGGATGGCAATATATGCTGTTGCACTCTGTAAATGTTCTTAATAGCTGGGCTGGCCAGACCAAAGCCATTTGCTTCTAACACAATATATGTCTCTCATATGCTTGGTAAGGGCTCCATTATTTGAGCCATCAGTTTTGCATCTGAGGTTTTGCCCCATAAGGAACCTGAAATCAGAAGCATGACTGGGACTTAAACCCAGGCATTGTGATATGCAATGTGTTTTACATGGCATCTTAACTGCTGTGGCAAACACCTGCCCCAAGCCTTAAATTCTGAGTACAACCTGATAAATGTATTGTTAATACAAAGGCAAAAGCTTAGGATTTGGAAACAGTGTACAGGTCCTAGAAAGTCTCTACAGAGGAGTAAACATTTCCTCTGACTCAAGCATAATTCTATGGAGAATTTTTAATATGGAGCATTTACATAAGAAAAGTATGAATATACATTTTGCTCATTTGTTTACTTATGCATTTATTCACCTGCAGCCATTTTTTGATTCTGCAATATGCCAGGCATTGTCCAAAGAGCCAGCTTTCACATTCTAAATAAGCAACGTGATGTCTGGTAATGACAGTGTTTGTGGAATGGAAAATTGTCTCTTCTGGTGAGACTGGGATACACAATGCATCTGGTGGGAGTTAAAGGACTTTGATTTTTGTGCCAAGGAATTCATACTAAATTTCTAGAAATGAGTGTCCTGACAGGTTTGTCTGCATGGGAGTGTGAGCAATGTGGGACTTGCAGCATAATGACGCCAAGACTAGAGCCCAGGCAGACATGGCACCCTCACACAGCATGTTATAGAAGTGCTAATGAGACCTTGGATCCCCCCAAATGAGAAGATCACCGGTTTCTAGAACATTTTTGGTGGGGAGGCAGTAGGTCTGCAAGAACAAGGAAAATTTAGGGCTTTTTTGCTTAGAAATCTGGGCAAATGCTGGAAAGTGGGTACCATGGGAATATGTAATATTAAAGGATCAAGGTAATGAAATAGTTCTGGATTGCTTAGATTTCATGTACTTGTAGTTCACTGAGGTGTGGATGTTTAGGCATCCCTGCATATCAAAATAATATCCACAGCCTCAGAAGTCAAGTGAGATTTCAGATGAAGGTTTAGGAGCCATGGTACTAAGACATTATTTGATGAGAATTGGTTTGGCTATAGGGCAGGTAGTTTCATTATTGACACATTGCTACCCTATCTACTTTGGGTTTGTTAATGAATTACTTTTTGTTTAGATCCCACCACAAAATCTTTGGCAATATCTGTATATATATAGATTATGCATAGAGATATCTATATACATATACATGTCGATATCGATATCGCCAAAGAATGGCAGAGTGCTGGGAGAAGAAAGGCGTGAGAAAGGGGAGGGAAGTGTGGGGAGAAGTACGCGCACATGCACATACACACACTCTCACACATATTCACGCGCAGAAAGACAGAGAAAACCTTTTATCTGCTAGCTCATTCTCCAAATGGTTGCAATAGCTGTGTCTGGTCCTGGCAGAAGCCAGGAGCTTAGAACTTCATCTTAGAAAAGATGAGAACAACAAGAGAAACAAGAACAGCTTCAAGAATGAGAACTGCCTGAGTTGGATGTTTTGCTTTCTTTATGCAAGAGGCCTGGGTGGTGAGTCCCAAAAGCCTCTGAAGGGAGGGCAGATTATGTTGAATGTGGGAGAATTTGCTGTAGTTTAATTTCACTATACCCCTCTTTGAGGAAATCCACTCTGGGGAGAAACTGCCAATTAAACCCATCCAAAAAGAAGAGAGCATTTGTGGTAAAAGAAGACTCTCTTCCAAGGAGTTCACTGAATTACAGCCATTCCTACCACTTAAAAACATTTATGTATATCATATACCACTTGTCTGCAGGCATGGATGTTGAATAACTCTGGAAAGCTCCTAAAATACAAATCTGAGGACCTACTGTCATTTAAAAGCTAATATGGTAGGGGGTAGGCCTGGTGGGGGTTATGGGGAGTCACCCCAACTAGGCTGCAGCTCCTACTGGTTTGCATGAGGGCTGAGTAGAAAGTGGACAGGAACGGGCTGGACTACAACACCCATTTGTTCACATGGAAGACAGGGCTGGAAACAGAACTGACCCAGCAATTGAAATGACCAGCATGTGCATAAGCTGATTGGGGTGACGGACTGTGTCAGACCCTGTACTGGCAAACACACACAAAAATCAGTTCTGGGATCACCTCAGATGAAGTTTCTTTGGCGATCCCTCCAACTGAACTGCTAATCTCAGAACCCCAACCATGAAGGGACTATGTCAGCCAGTGGATTCTGAATAGATTTCATTGTGATTGGAATGGCGAGACTTGCAGCAATTCAGAACTGTTGAACTATCAAAACTGCATGAGCAGGACCCTTGGAGCATGCCCCACGTTGGGGACCTAGGATGGGTGGGAGACTGGGTGGGGCTTTTCCCTTTATTTCTTGCCTGACCCCAAATACAGGGGAAAAAAATATTAGTGTGAGAACAAACAAAAAATGCTAATCAGATATCAGAGAAATTATCTTTGAATGAGAACAGGTATCAGTAGAAAAGAAAATACACTTTGGTTGATGAAAACTCCATTCACTGGGACTTTGGGAGCAACAAGTCACACACAGCTAGAGCTGGGATTTACTTGGATTGCCTTTGCTCATTTCAACAGGCCTGATCTGACAGAGGCCACAGTATTGTTTAAGAAGCATGGCTTGCTTGGTGTATTAGTTTGGCTTCTGGTCCTGGGCCATTGCCATGGAGACAGTCTTAGTTATTTGAGGACATTCAACCCAGCAGTGTTGGTACATACATTTTCTCCAGGTCCCCAAATCCTGAAAATGCTCCTTTTGGGATGACTCGAAGCCTGGTGAGTACAAACCTCCTGAAAAGACAGTGGATATAAAATATCACAAGCTGCCCAATAATAAGTAATTGAGTACCTAAGGCACATTTTTCAATGAAGAGCTGATATAATACTAAGTGCTTTCCATATTAATAATGGCTGAACTTGCTTTCGCTTTCTCTTCATCTTCACCACGTGACAGTACATCAACACTATTGCTTTCCCTTTACCTATGAGGATATTGGAGCTTAAAGAGGATGAGAGGCTTATCCAGGCTCCTGTGGCTGAAATATGGTAGAGCTGGGTAGGAAATGTGCCTGTGTCCACTCTGCATTGCTTCCTCTAGTGCAGGAATCTCTTTTTCTTACTCCAATCCCATTAAATCTCTTCCTTGATTGCCATGCTCAGCGTACTGTGCCTCCTGTTCCAAAGGGAGAGTGAAAACCACAGCAGAAAACTCCCTCCTGCTACCGCATGGCTCATAGCTCTGCATCACCTGTACCATGGCTTAAGCGACACTGCCTTGCTGCCTGCTCCTCAGGTTCCTCTCTGAGTACAACCCTGCCTTGTTCACACTAAATCTCTTCCCCTCATGTCTAGTCTCCAGAGTGACCACAATGATCTCCCCTTTTACTTTGATGCATTTTATTCACTCATGTTCCCTCCTTTACTGGATTTGGCTCATCAGCATAAAAAATATGCCATAAATTGTCCCATTTCCTACACTTTCTCTTAACCCTGGCTGCTTCCCACTTTTCCCATTTCCTTCTATGTGACGTATGTGTCTCACACCTGCCTCGACATCTCTGACCTTGACTCACACCTCAGTCAAAGGAACATCAAAGGTATTTATCAAGGCCATGTGCCCGGGGGTTTCCTCCCCTCCACTCTCATCTTCACCTTTGGTCTGACAATAACCTCTTGATAGTCCTTGCACATGCCCAGTTCCTTCGTGTCTCAAATTTCTGTATCATCAGTTATCTCTTTCTGGAACTTTCCTCTCCTTGGTATCCTCCTAGATCTCTGCCTCAGCTTCATTTGCCCAAATGTCACCTTCTCTGTGAGGTTTTTCATAACTACACTATTGACAATGACCATCTCCCTAACTTGATTCCTGGCCTATTTTCTTGCTTAAAGCATTTATCATAGCATGTCTGACTACATTCTGTTTATTTATTTAGCTGTGGATTCATACATTTGCTTGTGTTTCCCCCTTTAATAAAGCACATTCCACCATATAGGAATTTTTGCTTGACTTGTTGCTGCTATATACCAAATACCCAGAATAGCATCTGGTACATGACAGGTAGGCAATAAAACATTTGTTATCACAAAGTCTGAAATACCTAGACTTGAGGGTAAAACCCTGAGGGACCCTTTAGGATTCTTGACAATAATAATATTCTTTCTCCTGGCATTTTCTTGTACTGTAATTGGTTATATTGTTATTTTAATCACGTTAGGCCCTCCTTTCACAAGGAAGTCTTATAATTAAACAGGAATTATCCTGTGGACTTGGATAGTTGTAAAAACACTTCACTTCTTTAGTCTCTTAATGCTTTCTAGCTAGGTGAAATTCTTGTTTCAGATGTTAGCTGTTCCGCAGGAACATACATCTTTTACATTGCATCTAGCTCCCTTCTGTTGGAGAATTATGGTAGAGGGTCTTGTATGCCATCTGGCTCCTGAGGACTTTATATGCTTGTTGAGAAAGCAAAACCAGAAACTTTGAGGCTGCCAGAAAGTAATTGTGTGGTAAAGTTAATCTAGTAAGTATACCTGTACAAAGATTAACAGAAAAAATTCCCAAGTATGCAAATTTACAAAAGAGATGTTCTGAGCATGGGTGAATTTTGAACTTACAATATAGTTATGCAAAGTGTTTGTGTCTATAAAACCATTTAAATAAGTGATGGCATAATTAAAGCTTGAATGTATCAGATTTAGCAGAGAATCTACCACTGGAATGCCCACCTAATAACCTGGGTTAGTTTACACTCCATTAACTGTACTCACTTAACCTTAGTTAACATATGTAAGTTCCTTTTGTTCCTATTAATTACAAGACCCAAGGTTAGAAATAAACCAGTAAAAGAAGTAATGTGGTTTGAGCTATTGAAGCAGCTTAAAAGTTTTAAGGGCACTGAAATATTGAAGTAAGATGTTCATTAATTAAATGACCAGAGAATGATGTTTTAAACAATTTCAAGAACAACTTGTATTAAGTGATTCAAATTTAGTAATGTAACTAGTCTTTCTTGAAGAAATTTCCTGAAACATTATAAGCAAGATAATCTGAAGATACTTCCACTAAAGCTTTCAAAGATGGATGAGGAATTCCCCTGGACTCAAAGCAAAGTGACTGAATGGAAGAGGTTACCCTAGCAGTGGCAAATGGAATCCAATGAGGGTAAACTGGGGTCAAGGTGCCTGGGTGGAGTTTCTGGTGTGATTAGCTCAGAAATTTGTATTTTGATGCCAAACAGGCACAGGAGAGAAGACGCAGAGAATGGCATGCACAGGTGCTTCTGGCTGCCTTCCTCCTTCCCTTTCTTTCTACCTCCGTCCTTCCTTCCCCCACTGTACATGCATTCATTCCTCCTTTCTTTCCTTCCTGTCTTCTTCTTTCCTCTCTCCTTTCTTTCTTCCCTTTGTTTCTGTCATCTCTTATGTATTCTAGGGGAAAAGGGTATGAGAAATGAATGGTAGTCAATTATTTTAGTGATATCTTATATAGAACATAAGATACAGAAACTTTCATGAGACAGTGAAAAAAAAATAAAAATAAATCCCTTCCAGATACTTATGATTTAACACTGCAGACCCAAAGAAGAAAATATATTAGATATGCACAGCGAGAAAAACATTTTCATAGGAAAATTAGAAGAATTAAAAATATGTTTTAATATTATTAGAGCAAATAATTGCTGGTTTAGTTATGTATTTAGAGAATATGTGAGGTAAAAATAAAAACACTTTTGGACAAGGTTGACTATTACTAAATTTTAGCAAAATAATTTCATTAGGGAAAACTTATATCCAGTAGGAAGATACTGAAAAACTTGAAGGAATAGTGAAAAGAGAAATTAGTATTCTTTGTTGAATAAGTGAGTTTTCATAATAACTGTAAAATCAATAAGGAACTTTAAAATATATTGACCAAGTACTAAATCACAAAGCAAATTAATGTAAAAAGAAATCATGTGTGTTTTTTGAGAGACATGTAAACAAGTTAGCTAGCAATCAGTAGTAAGATAATTAATCCCTCTCCCAATTCACATCCACTCAATCGGAAAAATAAAAGTGAAGCAAAGCAAACCCAAAGAAAATAAGCCCCCTTTTAAGTAATACATAAGTCTGAAATATATAAAATTTTTAGCTATAATGAAAATAAAATGAATCAAACCTATGAGATTAGCTAATCTGCTCACCTTATAAAGAAATTTATAGCTTTAAATTATTATACCAGAAAAGGAAACAAAATAATGGAAAATGGCTATATCAATGTGCTACATTTACAACACAAACTCAGTAAAAAGCAAAGGAATTGTAGAAACAGATAATTATAAAGCTATTATTTCTTACTACATTTATGTCCATAATGCTAAGTAAAACTAAAAGCCTCCCAACACATTGGCAGGAGACTGGATTGGGAGCTTGGGCTCAAGCCAGAAACTCCAAGATGGGATGCAGGCATCACAGTTTATCAGATGCAGAACCATAGCTTGCTATGCCTAAACGTCTGTCTCTAATTGTCTTGATAGTAATGCAGTCTGATTACTTGGAAATCAGCTGGAAGGTGACTAACCTCTCTACCAGTGCACATACAAGCATCTGGAAAACTAGAAGCAAAGAAAAACAAGCCAAATCTGAACAAAACACCCTTTAAAGTCATACGTGAATCAAAAGAGAAATTATAATTAGAAATTTTACTAGAACTGAAATATAATGAAAATATAATAGAGCAGACCTGTGATATATTGCTGAACTGCTACTTACAGAGAAATTAAAATTTTTAATTGTTATGCTACAAAATAAAGATATTAAATGAGATGATAAATGAGGTATTTATCACATATTGGGCTTTGTGTTGGATGATTTTCCCCAAGTACTATTCTGCCTGTATTTAAGGGAGGCTAGTCTTGAAGTTTTGGTATCTGGTAAATACGATGAATTAAATGTATTTCAACTTAATGATATTTTCTGCTTATAATGGACTTATTAGAACATTTATAGCATTGTAAGTTGGGAAATATTAGTATAGATACTGTTTAAGTTTATACATGTTATTTCACAATTAAAAGATCAATAATCTGCTGAAACTTACTGCTAAAATGGATAATATTAAGTTAGTAAAAGTTTTTTTAAGAACCCTTATAGTTTTAACATTAAAATGTTACTTATCATAGACAACTGCATTTATTTCAGTATTTATTTCTACTGATGCTTATAAGCTTCATCATAAAAGTTTTGTTTTAACCAACAACCTTCTGGTGATTGTTACGGCTTCATTGATCTAGTTTTGAGTCATTCAAAAGGTGTCTACAGATTTCCTTTACAGCAGTATCGGATAAAAAGACATTCTCAGTGAGTTTGTGTTTTAGAAAAGGAATAAAGGATAATGAACAGATTAATACACAGTACAACACTTAAGTTTGCATTGAGAGGGAGCTGATGGCAAATACATAAGGAAATAACAAAGAAAGCAGCCGAAATAAATTAAAATAATAATGGAATTGACAAACCCCAAAGCTAACCTTTTAAAAGATGAATAAAATAGAACCTACGTTCATTCTGAACAAGAAAGAGTAGAAGATGAACAATGAGAGGCATGAAAAACGATATTTAACTGCAGATATAAAAGGTTGTAAATTTAAAAACTCTACAAATAATTTTATAGCATTATATTTGAAAAATGAGGCAATATGGAGAATCTTTGTAGAAATATAATCACAAAAACTGCCTCAGGAAGACAGAAAACAGGATAGATCTGTAAGTATTAACAGATTGGTTTGGCAGATTAAAAGATGCACAATTGA